GATAATATATCTCAGGGACAATGTGACTTCCCTATTCAGATTGTTGCTTCTTCCTCTGCTTTTGTCTCTTCTTCTTTGGTTTGGTTGGTCTCTGGAGTTTTGTTTGCCTTCTTCATGTTTTGAGGTTTATATTATTTAAGGTCCTTATTGATTATATATATTTCGTATTTTGGTCCATGTAATAATATATTTGAATTTTAACTCGGAAGAGTAATTATTTTTTATTTTGATTTAAAATTCTTATATGTTCTTTTTATTTCTTTATAATTGTCGAAATATGTGGAGCCTTGGGTTGATCTCATAGAGACACAAAAAGAAGGGAAAATGTTGTTGATAAAGTCATAGAAGCCGGTTATTTTCGGTTAATTTTCTGACTCGGTTTATTCAGTTAAATTGGTTATCTCTGAACCAGAATCACCCGGTTATATTCGGTTAATTAGACAGCAAGCTATTCGTTGATTGTGTTTAGCGAATCAAAAGTCGATTGAATTTGCTAATCTTGCCGATTGGTTTGAAACCGAAAACGGAGAGTAATGATTCGGTCAGATCGGTTTACTTCGACTCGTCGTACCGAATGCGTAAGACTAGTTGATAATATCAATTTTTATTTATTTAATAAATAGTTATTTTACAGAAAAGAAAAAGAGAAACGGTGGTGGGGTTTTGTTAGTAAAGCAGTGTAGAGAGGAGAGATACGGATACTGTTTTGTCTCACTGAAGAGAGTAAAATCGAATAAAACGACAAAAAAGAGAGGAAAATGGAGAGCGACGAAGCAGCAGCAGCGTCTCCTCAAGCGAGCGGAGGAACGGTCACTCCGACGCCGAAGAAGAGAGGGAGGAAACCGAAGAGCAAGGAGGAGGAGTCAGAGAGCGGTGGGAAGATGAAGGAAAGCAGCGTGGGGAAGATGACGAAGACGAAGCAGAGTGTGGACGACAAGTACTCTCAGTGGAAAGGTCTCGTCCCCATTCTCTACGACTGGCTCGCCAACCACAACCTCGTCTGGCCTTCCCTCTCTTGCAGGTCCTTTCGCTTATCTCTTCTTTCTAGGGTTTCAGTTAGATCTTGTGTTGATCATTCTCATGTTTGTTCCTGTTTAAAATCAGCAAAAATGCTGAGAGACACACTTAGATCTAGTTATGGTTTGGTGTTGATGTTTTTTTTTATAATGTCTCTTGGCTTCACGCTTTGATGTATCTGCTGTTTGTTTTTTTAACCTTATCAAACACAAAGGGTGAAGAAGTTTTTTGATGTTTTGTTTGTGTTACTTCAAACGTTTTAGCTGTTTTCATATGTGATCAAGTCTTTAGCTAAGAGGTTTCGTTTGTTGTTTGGTGTATTCACAGATGGGGTCCACAACTCGATCAAGCAACCTACAAGAATCGCCAGCGTCTTTACCTCTCTGAACAAGTAGGCTGCTTTTACTTTCTACTCTATATTAACATCTCAGATATTTGTATGTCTCATCAAATTTGCATTTTTTTTTTTTTTTTGCTTGGTTGTGTCATTAGACTGATGGCAGTGTTCCCAATACTCTAGTCATAGCGAATTGCGAAGTTGTTAAGCCAAGGGTTGCTGCAGCAGAGCACATTTCCCAGGTATTTAGTTGCTCTTCTACCAAACTAGAGCTCTTTTCCTTACCATACTCCCCGACTTAAAATGGATGTCCTGTCGTCACACTTAATTTACTATCTCTTGGAAATGTGTGTTTCAGTTCAATGAAGAAGCACGTTCTCCATTTGTGAAGAAGTACAAGACTATCATTCACCCTGGAGAGGTTTGCATTCCTCCCATTATAGAAATGTTAATGTATCGCTATTGTTGCTTTTACTTCTATTTGGTGCATTCATCGTACCTGCATCACTGTTTTAATTGCTGAATTCCTCTTTTGGTGTGTATTCATCGTTTATTTGCAAAATTGCAGGTTAACAGAATCAGGGAACTCCCTCAAAACAGTAAGATTATTGCTACTCACACCGACAGTCCTGATGTAAGTGGTCCTTCTTCTCTTTCCTTATGGTCATAGCATCTTAATATAATGTCGTTTTCATACCTCTTTATTTGGCAATCAAAGAGCATTCATTGTTTTGAACGAATTTATAGTCTTAGTTACGTTAATACAATATGTTGATTCCAGGTTCTCATTTGGGATGTTGATACCCAACCAAACCGTCATGCAGTTCTTGGAGCTGCAAGTTCCCGTCCGGATTTGGTATGTCCACTTCTGAGTTCTGAGAAATGTTGTTGCAAATCATTGCTTGCGGTTTATTCTTGTTTGTCTTAACCTCATCATTTTTTCTTGCAGATACTAACTGGACACCAAGATAACGCTGAATATGCTCTTGCAATGTGCCCAACCGAACCCTTTGTCCTCTCTGGAGGTCTATGTTTCTCTAATTCTTAGTGTCTGATCATGTGGTTTTTTACCAGTTTCTCATACAAAGGTTATTTTCTTAGGCAAGGACAAGTTAGTTGTTTTGTGGAGTATCCAGGACCACATCACAACGGCTGGTACTGATTCCAAATCATCGGGATCAATCATCAAACAGATTGGTGAAAGTGGTGATAAGACTGAAAGTCCTTCTGTTGGCCCGCGAGGTGTATATCAAGGCCATGACGATACGGTTGAAGATGTGGCATTCAGCCCGACTAGGTAACTTGTTAGAATGTTCTCCTAATAATCCCATATTTTTTCTTGCGGAATGCAGAATTTTTTCATGAATTTTGATGATGTTTCTGGTAAATTTTTATTTCTTGAACTAGTGCACAAGAGTTCTGCAGTGTTGGCGATGACTCTTGCCTTATACTATGGGATGCAAGAACTGGCACTAGCCCTGTCACGAAGGTACATTATCGTCTTGATCCTAACAAAGTTTTGAAGTACCGTCTATTATCTTTTATCTTGTTTTTGTGTTTACCAGGTTGAAAAGGCGCATGATGCTGATCTTCATTGTGTTGACTGGAATCCTCATGACGACAATCTAATTTTGACAGGGTATGTGGAAACAGATATAGATTGCCACAGACAAAGATAAAGGCAGACTTATATATATATATATGTCTCACGTAGTATCTATACTAAGAAAATACTTAGAATATGCATACATGTACTCATTAGATGTAGTTGAATGTTTCAGGTCTGCAGACAACACTGTCCGGTTGTATGACCGTAGGAACCTTACCTCAAATGGAGTTGGTACACCTATCTACAAATTTGAAGGCCACAAAGCTGCTGTACTTTGCGTTCAGGTTTCAACAACAGCTCTTATGCTTTTTTTAAAAAAAAAAACATTTTACTGTACCTAATAATTTCACTGATACCATTTATGTTAATTAATACAGTGGTCTCCTGACAAGGCATCTGTTTTTGGGAGTTCCGCAGAAGATGGTCTCTTGAACATCTGGGATTATGACAGGGTGTGTATACAATTCTCTCAGATATGTCTGAAATTTACCTTTATTTTGCTATCGTCACTGAAAGTTATTCATCGTACTCATGGTTGGTTTGTTTTCACTATGCATCAGGTCAGTAAGAAGTCTGATCGTGCAGCTAAAAACCCTGCCGGGCTCTTCTTCCAGCATGCTGGTCATAGGTTCGTTAAAGACTTGATCCTAATTCGCTTGATTGCTTTCTCATTTACTTACTTGCTTCTAATTTGTTTTTTATTTATTAGGGACAAAGTTGTGGATTTCCACTGGAATGCGGCGGACCCGTGGACTATTGTCAGTGTTTCTGATGACTGTGAGACTACTGGTGGAGGTGGAACCTTGCAGGTAAACCTTTTAACACTTTATTGGTACCTCGATGAGCAATTTTGTAGGTAAAACGTAAATGTGTTGTCTTTATACTTCTTTTCTTCTATTGGTAGATATGGAGGATGAGTGACTTGATTTACAGACCGGAAGAGGAAGTTCTGACAGAATTGGAGACGTTCAAGTCGCATGTTATGACATGTGCCTCCAAGCCTTGATTGAGTGCAAAGAAATAATGACAAACCTATCTATCTATGGTAAAACTAATGAAGTTTAGTTGTCGGTTTAGCGAGGAATCTTGGTTTACTAGTTTGTCTTCTGATATATTGGTAGCTTTCAGGACCTTTCAAATCGTTTAGGAGTACATTTCGTTTTCGTTCTTGATGCATGTTTCCTCAAGACTCTGAAGAGTGCTATTTTGTTCATCTTAGATCTTGACCGAATCAGACCAGTTGTGTTGATTTGAGCTTGCATTCAGCATAGGCATGCAGTAAATCATTCTCCGTCTCAAACTAGACCGGCTATAAATCATTCTCCGTCTCAAACTAGACCGGCTACAAAATCGTTTAGGGGAAATGGTTTTGGTTTTTGATCCATATTTGATTTTTGAAAGTGCTATTTGTTCAGATTGGATCTAAACAAAACAAAACAACTGTGCTACAAAATCGAATGCCTTTCATGTTCTAAACACACTTGTTTTAGCATTTTTTAACCGAAAAGTCCCAAGATTTGTAATACAAGTAACAGAGTTTGATTTTGATTTTGTTTTTAAGGATTTTCTAGAATTCACAATTATGATGACGAATTTAATAATAGCAATCAAACTTGAATACATGGTCATAACTTACTGACCCTAACACTAGACAAAGATGCAATATTCTAGAGAGCCTCTTGATAGACTTAGAGACTTTGAATACCCAATGGCACACATACCGTCAAGATCAGTTAAGCCTCACTCGTAGAAGATATAAAGCCAACTAAAAGAATATCCTCAAGATATTCTTAGTCAATATTGTAAATCCTGTAATCTAGGAGTATCTAACTCACATCTAACAATCTCTCCTATATATAACACGTTGAATGATGAATAAATCAAGCAAGTCTATTGACTATCTTTCATGGTATCAGAGCTGTGCTCTTCTTAATTTTCTTTTTCTTTTTTTTTTCGTCATCTTTCAAGTGTCTCTTCTGCAATCACTCGCCATGGCGACCCGTTGAGAGAGCCTTTGGAGTGACGAACATTAAACATCACATACCTTTAATTCTAGATCTTGATGTCCACAACTACGATGCATGGAGGGAACTCTTCCTCACTCACTGCCTCACATTTGATCTTCTCGGTCATGTCGATGGAACTGTTACTCCCACTGGA